ACGATTGTCCAGTCAAGGAGCTTAATACAGTGCACACAATCTTAAATAAGCACTACGCACCAAGGATATATATACTGTATAGGCATGTTTGTTGTTGAGTCGTCAGCATTTTAAAGTTCCCTGTCTTTCAGAGAATGAAAGATTGAATACTCTGCTAAAAACAGCACTGTGTGTCAAAGGTCTTTAGTTCCTTAGTAATAGTCAGCCATCTGTTACTGTCTTATTCTCATTATCATAATGACCAATAAACAATTAAATTAGAACTGTATTAGGTACCAGCGGTGCTGTAGGTCATAAAGAAATACATTTTAAAGGACAATTTTACATTGCTCTTGTAATTACAAATAATTTGGTAGAAGATTAAAATCAGGTGATAATAACAACACATGATTATTATTAAATAGGGTGGCTAAGGCACTTGAATGAACATGATACAATGCAATGTACAATGCTCTGTGGCTACACTATTTATAAATCTGTTTTATATTTACATAAAGATGTTCACATATATATTAAATGTTAAACAGAACGGGACCCATATTCAACACATTTACAGTAGGTGCTTAGCTCCTCACAGGATATTATGGGGATTATCTTTCTAAGTGTATTGAATATAGGGCCCAAAGTCCGTGTGAATTAATGTAAACTAAATGTAACCACTAAAATGGTTATTCTGATTGTAACCTTGATGGGAATCATTATTTTATGTATCAATGTTTACAATACTAATCATTACTTGGTATATTAAAAACATTGCAAAATGGCAACTATACCCATATTATATCATATAGTATGACTTGATTTATATACCAAATTTCATTTAACAACTGTTTTTGGAACTTTTCCTTTTAAAAGTAAAAAAAAAAATCTGTGCAGTCTATAGTTGTTTTTTAATTCAAAAATATTTTAAACTAGAAAGCCATTACAATATTAGGAAAAATAACAGTTTACAAATTTACACTATATTTCCTGCTTTACGTTTTTTTAGTTATTTTTTTTTCTTTTTAGCTTTATTTGTTTAACTTCCATTTTAAATTGGCCACTCCTTGGCAGTCCGATTCAAATGTAATTTTTTTTTAAAAAGGGTTGTTAAATATCAGTGAGAATAAGGAGCTATGAAAAATCAATCAGTGGACTAAGCACCAATTATCTTGACACGTCTATTGTTACCTTTTGACTTGGTCATTGGATGTCTGCCTTTTTTCTAATCGATGCAACCCACTTCATAATGAACTGTTAATCTTTTTTAATTCCAAAGCCCAGGGCCTAAAAAAATCTATCAGAATCCAATCAGCAATTTGGTTTCTTTATAGAAAGAAGAACAGTGTGATCAGACCGTGCTGTGCTGAGAAGCCCGCAGGAAATCTCCGTAGACGTTATACCTCTGCTGATTGATAAACACTATGAATACTGTGAATGAACAGACCTAAAACCTACAGTACTTCGCTGATTCTTCCCAAAGAGCTATGGGGCTGCACAGCGTAGTGGGTAGGTCTCTGGTGAGTTTTGGGTTCAAGTCCCTACTGCAGACGCTACTGTAGTACCTTGAATGAGGTGCTTGACCCCAGTTTTTCCAGCCCACCCTGCTGTATGATACCAGGCATTTCTGGGGGTAATCCCTGAAATGGACTTGGACTTGGTTTCCTAGGGGAGTAGGAGGGGAATTTGGCAGATGATGAAATGATGTACCCTACAAATAAATATTTCTTTTAAATGTTTGCTGGCTAAACCACTAAAAACCACGGTCACTTGCAGCTACAAAAGTATTCCACGTGCCATCTTTGCAATTCCAGTATATACCCTGTTTGTAGCAGTTCCTAAATGATCTGTATGTAGACCAACACCAACAGCAATGCTATTGAAATATCCTTAATGTAACAAATGCTCAACTAACTAAAGTTAGAGGATTTTTAGTAAGGGACAAAGTAACAATTTAAAGGTGGTAAAAAAATATGCATTTGATTCTATTTCACTAGTTCTGATACAGATTAATGTAATTAACCAGCTAATGGTAAGCAGCATTAACAAGAATTTAATCGCTTTGTACAGTATGAACACAAACTTACATATCCAATTAATTCTACTGCATTAAAGTAAAAACAGTATGACCGTAAAATTGTTACGTTGCCCATATCCCTGCCCCTTGAAGATTTACAGTGAGCTTTGCAGCAATGTCCAACAAGCTTTACTGTAAATAATAATGTGTACACTTATTGTTTATGTTTACATTTGTGAAATGGCTGGGATTTTCAGCCTACTGTGTTTACAACCTGACAAGCACATTTTAATCTGCTTATGCTAATCGTCTTAGTGGAGCAATTGTTATGATATTTATCCCCTCCAAAGCAAAGCGAGGACTTTTTTGGTATGGATTTGCAAATATTAGGGGTAATATAATAAGGAAATATGAAGGGTAAAAACTGTTGCTCCATGCACTGAAATTCAGCCCCAAACTCTGTATGCACACTTGATTATATTTGTCATTTTTGCTAGTAACTAATATTAAGTAATAATGGTGATGATACTGAATTCCCTCATCCACTTAAGGTTTCAAAAAATCTTCTGTGAACAGATTTACTCTGTGCAAATGACAAGTACATACAGAGGCACACAACTGAAACCCATCTACCACAAACTATACTTCACATGCTGTTAATTTCATTCTTACTTCGGTAATGCAAACAGGATTGCAATTTTCTGCACCATGATTCTTTAAAAAGAAAAAAAAAAAACAAATCCATTTGGAAGGGTACAGGAAGTAACAGCATTTCCATGCATGAATTGAAGGACACAGAATTCTGTCATGTGCTTAGAAATCCCAATAACTAAGCTAAAAATAATCAGGGCTTGTTAACAACAATATAAAACGGAGCTGCAGTTTTTTTGGTAGGATTTATTGTTTCAGACTAAATCCTTCAAGGAGTGTTCGGCTCTACCTAAAGCGTTTGTTGAAGACAAAAGCTGGGGTACTGTGTTAAAAGGGAAACTGGGGTACAGGCCACAGCGAATCAGATTTTTTGGCTCAGTTATTGGGTCAGTTGTGATCCACTCCTCAATAATCTGGTCTCTAAACTGCTCCCTGCCGACACAGCAAAACACGGCTGCTCAGTCCAATGGGGGGTTACTGTGAGACCATCAGTCTAATCTCCTTACGAGATAACACCTCCCCCTGCACCTGATTAGAGGCAATCCCCCCAAAACTGAAACTATTTCATAACACCGAGGCTGGCCTAGCTGTCCCTGCAGATAGTTGGTGCAATCCATCATTGGAACAAGGTATGTGAGACAACCAGGTAAGCAGGGCTGCTGGAGGTTTTGGACTCAGTGGAGATCCACCACATGGCTGTCTGTGAAGTACTGGCACTGTGAGAATTCCCACATGGTCCCGTTGTGAAACGGTGGTCATGATCAGAGACGGGGAACAGTAGGCACAGGGACTGCCTAGTCTAATGATGGGCTACATCAGATCTTAAACAGATAGTCAGCATTGCATAATATTTCAAGGTGGTGTATTGGCTATTGAAATGAACTGTTTTTGCAATTGAGTATTGCAAGATAAAATGCGCCACACCACATACAGTATATTTCAAATGAGTGCATAACAATTTTATTTTTGCATCAAAATTCGATCCAAACTGATTAAACTTTTCCTTCCAAGAGTGAATACCTTAGAAGGCTAATGAAATACCAGATCCACGATCACAATTTCTGACACGGGAAAAAATAAAAAAACATTCCCATCAATAATTCAATATCGCTCATTTTGTACAGCGTTCCTCTCGTCTTTCAGCGAGTGGGCCTTCCCCCCTCTTCAGAGCAATTCTGCACTGCCACCCAGCCCAACAGACCGTCCCCATTTAAATCAGGGCTTCACTCTGTGCATTTAGCCGCAGTTTATTGATTCGACTTTTTAAGATGACTTTGATTCTCCCCCAGGTGCACATTGGCAGCTAAAGTTAATTACAGTCCTGGGGGGTGGGGTGGCACCACTCAGGCGTTTTAGCATCCCAAAGAGAGAATCCAGGGGGGCGAGAGCAGGAAGGCCATTAAAAATACTCACTCATCACCCACTGCACTTTAACTCCAAATGGGCTGTGTCAAAGCTTTTTTTATGGTGGAGTTTTATTACACTAGGCACAATATCCACAATTAAATGATATCCTAACTGCATAAGAGGCTGAAAGCAGTGGTTTATAACTTACAAGGGTTATTTGCTTTACTTTAACTATACTCATCCAATAAGAAACCAGCTTCATTTTTCTAATGGTCTGGGGCTCTCCCATTGGGCATATCTGCCTACCATAAGCATTACTAGCTAAGTGATCACAGATTTAAGGGATGGGTGACCACAGTTATAGCCTTGATAAGAAAAATAAAGGTAGGCAAAAAAATACCTATAATGCATATAAGAAAAGTAGAGTATATACATATATTAAATATATTGTATATTCTGTATGGATTTGGGAGCTGTGGCAATTTGGAAGCTGCAGAGGAACAAGTGGTAGTTAATACAGCACCTTCATGAAAAGAACTCATCTAAATCAAGGAAACAGGAACCAGAGAGCATAAGAGGAATCTGCATGGAAGTGCATTTAAAACCAACAGTAAGAGGCATTTCTTTACCCAGTGGTTTGTGGGAATATGGAAGAGCCACACAGCCTGGTTGTGGAAGCCGATAGCAAGGCTTCTTTCAATAAATGTCTGGATGACATCCAGATAATTACTAACTGCCAAGCAGCCTAGATGGGATGCGTGACCCTCTCTCATTTGTAGGTGGTAGTTCAGCTCACAGTCATGTATAAAAAAGTATAAACACCACATTAGCGTTTAATGTGCGTCATGAACATATTTGTAATGGTTTTTGTGTCCCATGTACACAGTATGTAACTTTTTAAAAACAAAATGGAAACACATTTTATTTTATGGTACGTTGGTAATGTAACGACAGTGTATGTGTGGAAAAGATGCAGAAGGGAACTGAATGACAGCCTCTGTCTTACCTGGGATATGTTTTGCCCAGCCGATGATGACAACGAGCTCGCGGTCAGCCAGGTCACACAGTGTGGTCAGAGCCTTGATGTCACTCTCGGGCATCGTAGGGTCTGGCATTGCATAGATCTTTTCTGGCTCCGCCACCAGGAGGTGAGACACGATTTTTGTCACTGACAGAATAGAAAGAGCATTGTTGCCGGGCGGTTAGCTACAGTGCAAAATGGCATTTTATGGCATTGCAGATTTCAAGCACATTCAGGATGGTTCAGACATATTCTGTAGTGGCAGGCTGAAAAGTAATCCCTCACAGAATAATGGGCATCACAGGATTGTTTCTTGAACACCTCAATTTAACGTACATTAGCAGGTACTGCAGTAGAGAATGGGAAATTAAAAACGAGTAATCATACTCATTTAGCTCCAGCTACTGGATCACATCAGGAAAGGTACTGACAGTTGCTTTAGTGCATTTTCCTTTTCTGCAGAATTTAGGAGATCAGTCTAAAGTTTGTTTTAGACTGATTTGCAAAAGTTTGATTGTAACCAGGTGTAGTTGTGAAATCCCTACTGTTTCAGTGTCTCTTAGCATGCAGGACACGCGAATCTCCGATTCAATGCCGAGTGCATTTTCTTTCTCAGCTGCGTTGAGGTGCGCAGCACGGGGACAGCGAACAGGACAGGAAGCACAATACCCACATGGTTTCTTTGCTGGTGGCGGCAGTGTGAGGCCCAGGTATGCGCTGCTCTCGCTGTCCATCCTCCGCTTGTACTTCTGTCGCCCCCCTCGCACGCGGTCCAGGCGCACCCCTGCCGCATGGGACACATGGGCCTGTTAGCTCTCTTACTCTATTGGGACGTGTCTTCAAGGAAGAGATCTTGCTTTGCGCAGGTAGAGAAATAATCGACAGTGCCAAGTCATATTCAACTCCCCCCCCCACCCTCCAAACAAGCTATAGCTATAAAGAATGAAATTATTCACCAGAGAGTCAAGTTATGTACAGTTAATCGATTTCATTTCAGGCATTGCATTAATTGCAGGGCTGAGCAAAGGTTTTGTCCTTAATTTTATGCTAAATGAAAAAATCCGTGGAGTTCCCGAAGATACGGAAGTTCTTTAAGGTCTACCTCTGTGATACACTTTTCTTTAATCACTTTACAGTTTCTGAAATGCTGTTTTGCTTGTGCAAATGTTGAGAGACACACGTTAAGCATGATTTAAAACGTAACATGATTTCGTAAAACCAATTGATGATCGCAACCCAGGTCAATTGCAGCATCTCATTGGGCACGATAAATCAGAGAACTTATACATTTGATCTTAAGTCACAGTTCTCCAGTTTTACAGCTGAGTAGAAAAATATAACACCAGCAGATATCTCAATATGGCTTCTTCTTTGCCTCAAAAAAGAAAGGAAGGTGCATAGTGCAGTTTCACATTTGTGCCAGGGCAGACGATGTTCATTTGATGAGGGATGAAAAAAAATTGATTCAAGGCAATAAAACAAAAGTTTCCAAAAGCATATGGTCAATTTGGAAGAAAAAAGGAAAAAAACAGCAAATGTCAAAGAAATGAGTGCTCTCCCATATGTGTAACACGCCTGGTTAGTCTATTGTGACACACTGAGGCCTGGCAGACTTCTAAACATATGAATATTTAACGCGGGGTCAGTGATCTCACAGACTGGGATTCTAATTATTTCTCTTTTTAAGAAAGACAGACAGAATACTAATGAAGTGGAAGGTACACAACATGCCACTTGTCCTGGTATGTGTAAAATCACGACACTGTAACAGAAAATGGAAGCAAAGGCTATAAATGCAATATCCTGTTTATGCACAGAATACAGATGTTCTGGTAAAAGAGTAAAGCTAGTTTGCCTTCGAGTACCAATAAAATTATCTCATTTTCACTCAATCTAATAGAACATGCACAGTCCTTATCATCCAGAAACACTGATATAATGCCTCTGTCCTGTTCTGAAGAAAATAAAGAAATGCCAGCACGATCCGTAACATATGTTATTTATTATCTAATTACAAGATAAGGACACATTTCAATTTGTTTTTTCTTAGAATTCATTTTTTACTGTGTGACAGTGTATCTCACAAAGAGCCTTTACTGTGATTAGTTACCAGGCTTTGATTACTAAGGTGAAAGCTGGACATCTGAGATCATTCTGGCAGTCTAGATGAGTGCATCTTACAAGGCGACCCTGAGCCAGAGAAAATCACAGCACATTAAGAAAACCTGATAAATCATTCTGAAAATCAGAATCCAAATTCTCCTGAACTCCTGAAAACCACATTGAATCTCTGTAGCATGGGTCCAATTCATCTCTGAAGATGCACTCATGAAACACTCCCAAAGCAATCTTGAATTGTCAGCATTACCTCATTCTTCAGGATGAGGAAACGTTCAATGACCTCTTCAGGATTCTGAATGAACTTTAAGCACACGACACCTTTATTGTGTGAAAATTAAAGTGATGTGGTTATTTTGTGAGCCACTGTAATTGTGTGACATGACTTTGGCTGTGTGGTCAGTTTACAGAGACACGAAAACACCTCAAATTTATGAAAAGACACATTCGGTAGGGCTGTCTTCCTACTTTCCATGACACTGAATAAACTTTCCCAAATAAAAAACACAAATGAAACACTTTTGCTTGGCTCTGCCTTTTTAGATCAAAAGATTGATTAAAGAGGTGGCGACCATCTGAAAGATGCACAAGGATATAGAGTATGCTGAAAGACAATGTGTCCCACAGCCACCCTTTAAGAATTATTGCAATGTACAGTAATTCATTCCAAATGTATTTAAGAGTGCGAGAAGGCTTAAAACAGTTCTCTTTTTTTTAATGCTGCAAAGAAAAGAACTGAAATAAATGACATATAACGGTGGATAAGTTATGACATCTTAGCAGAGCACCGTGCCACAGAGACACCACGGCAATAAGACAAGAGGACATCCCCCTGTGTGGATAGATGTGTCCGTGTCGTGGGTTCCAGTGCTAACCTGCGATGGAGACGATGCTTGAGCACTTGCTTAATGATTTCATCACTTTAGCTGGCACTGCGGGTGTCAAAGTGTAAAATGTGGAACTACTGCAAATTAGGCTAATGTGATTCCCTCCCCCGCCCCTCCCTATCGTCTCCTTGGCTCGTTCTGTGGTTCCAGAGATCACAATCGGAGGTCGCCGGAAGTTCGCAAGCATACCTAGGAGGCAAAAGCAAATGAAAGCTTGTGATTGGATTAGCAGCAGCACTGCACTGCTGATGTTTGGGGATTTGACACCTTAGTGTTTTTACATCTCCAGATTAATAATAACCTTTATTTTATGTAGTGTCTTTATCGGAGAAAACACATACTCCTCCATTAAACCCAACTGTCCCCTAATTCCAGTAGACTGTCACATGAAACATTAGTCGTGATTCTTTCATGGGAATTGTCAACACTCTTGTCACACAAAGAAAATGATAACGATGGTTATTATTCTTGAAATTTATTCAAATAGGTGAATGAAAGACAAAGCTTTTAGTTTGTCAAGTTCAACTTGATTCTGTGATAAAAGAGTAACACAATCTCAGGTGATCAGAAGAACTGAAACAGCACAAGGATTTAGTTTGAAGAATTCAAGCTTCTCAGTCACATTTCAGGATATCCAGTGGAATGAGATATTCTGACAGGAACAAGCAGCTGAATTTCATTTTTGAGTTTCTTTCACTCTTCTCCTCCCCAAAAACTAATTACAAGTAACTTAGCACACTTTTACAACTAACGAAAAACAATCTTTCATGATATAAGACATATTTGAAAGTGTCTCCTTAAATAAAGCCTTTTCAGTGGTGAATTTTCAAAGGACTGAGTTCTTCCTGGTCTTTCCAAATAACAAGAAGGGGATTGATTTTTCTCAATATTTTAGTACGCTTTGGTAACCATGGCGAAATAAATGTCCCCTAATGGAAAGGGACGGTATTTGGGATTAGATCAAGAATAGTGCAGCAGCAACAGGCATCAGACATGAAGCAGAATACATTTTACAAGATGCAGCATAGGAGAAATATGAAACATTGTTTCCTATTGGGCTACCATTTTGCCTTTCATCCTATAAATTGTATGCATGACCAGGTAAAGCAAACTGTATTATCTTGTAAGAGTGGAATCATGAGATTTCTGGTACTTATAGAAATTCTTTGATTCCCTGGAAACACAAATCTGATTAGGATTGTCTTTCAATTTCCTGACACTGACAGCCCACTAACCTAATTACCCACAAGTCTCATAGGGGACTTATTCTTCCCAGCAAACACTGGGAGATCATTTAAGGGCTGCTAGGTCACAGCAAAATCAAATTTCTCTGAACAGCAATTTTCATTTTTACATTGATAATCACAGACAGACAAAAAAATAAACAAGAATTGTAATTGGGAATTTTCTCTTTCAGCAGGGATTAGGGGACATGTTTTAATTAATTTGTCTATTATGACATTTCTTCTTAGGATTACATAATTAACTTGGGGCACATTCTCCATTCAGCCTTAATGTATAATATATACTAAGATAGACATTAGAACAAATTTTCATAATCTTATACCTTTTTAATCACAGTAAAAGAAGGAAGTTTTTCTCTGCTGAGAAGTAAAATCTGTTTCTGTATCTAGCTCCCTGCTAAAACTTACTGAGAGTGTCTTCATTGAACAAGATGATCACTTTAGAAAGTTTACCAGCTTTACAGATTTACAGAACAAATCTATGTTATTACACTGTAATTAAGCATTAATAAAATTAAATATAATAAGAGTTAAAATGGATGCAAAGATCCACTCCAATACCAGACCATGGTTTCTTACACTGTTGCCAAAGGCAATTCCAAACAGAGCTTAGGTTTACAGAAATCCTCCTCAACAGTTTTGACATTTTATTTGTGTACTCCTTAACAAGTGTCTAACTGACAACTGGAGGCCCAGTCCAGGCTTATAAAAAATTGTTCCACTGCTTGCATTTAGTCATGTGCCTGGGACAGCAGGCAGGGCAAAGCCAGCATAAAGATTCCAAGGTACATCAATGCCTGTTTTAATTAGAACAGCCCTGCCATAATTAATAGACGCTGACAAGCATTTGAGGTTGTCACCAACCCGTTTCGTTTTACAGCAAAAGTGGGTCAAGTAGCAATTCAGGCACTGAAGTGATCATTTACCTTTTATTTTGTTTTAATTATGCATATTGTTTCTTTTCAACATGATGGGAGATTTAACGCATCTGCCCATTGTAACCTGCTCCTTTATACTCATGAAATGATTTCTGTTTTTGTCGGACAAAAGCAATCAAGCCCAAAGGATCTGTTTTAGTCGTAGCCATTGTAGGACTCCGAATGTTTCAAGGCCTGCTCAAGCGGGTCTAATGAAGATAAGATAAGATCACTTTATTGGCCATATACAATTTCTTGTATTAGGAATTCGTCTTTTCGCATAACTTGCTCTCCATGAGACACACAGACTGGGTCAGAGCGCAGGGTCAGCCATTTATATGGTGCCCCTAGAGCAGTTGGGGTGAAGGGCCTCGCTCAGGGGCCCAACGGAGTAGGATTCCTCTGCCGGCCGTGGGATACGAACCGGCAGCCTTCCAGCCACAGGCCCAGATCCTTAGCCGCAGAGCCAGCACACCAAAGTTTCACAAATGTCCGAAAAAGTGTTATCTGCTTTAGAGCAACAGATAAGTTCGCTTCACCTGTAAGAACTGCACTGATGCGGTTCAAGAAGGTGTTACAGTATTGTGTTTCTCGGTTACGATATGGAAAGTAAACAGA